GAATTAATTATACACCCCAGATATCTTTCTATTTCAAATTCAACTCTTAAGCTTTTATAGTTTAGAAATATATGGGCGAAATACGAATTTAATCCCTAACAAGAACTAGGATACTTCTCATTAATGTGAAGCCAATGTTGCAACTACCTGAATAACCGAGTAAACGTAATTTTATCGTAAAACTTTAAAAGGCTAATTTGTTGTTTTATCAGTTGTTAGTATGGGCTTTTAAGTTACTCATTATTGTAGTATGGACTGATTTACAAAGTGAACTTAAAAATCCTGTTGTTTGAAGTTAGGTGCTATTTGTGAGTGCCAAGAATTCATAAACAGAATTGATTAACGAATTAGACAAGCGACAAAACTAGGTCGTAAAAGTTTTAATTTAGCGAATAATAGCACACTAGAAATAACACTCAGTGGGGGACGACTATAAGGCGTTGGTGTTATAGCAGTGAAAAAAAATTCAATTCACGCCGCTGAGTGGTGTCGTCTGCTCTCACACACAATAGATGAGGGACGTATATTGTTTGTTATGTAAACATTTATGATTTCCTTGAGTCAAACTGCATGATCGAACGTGACTCTTGTAGAAAACGTTAAAAACACTGATGAATTCGAAATATAAACACTTTTCCAAAGACAGAAATGTGATTTTAAAATGACTGACAGCTCCCAGTGCGATATGGTGGTTAAGTTTGCATATTACAATGATCAAACAAACTATACCAGTGGAAAACTTATTACCTTGAGGTCCTATTGTAATGGGTGCTGCTGATCAGAATGGATGTAAGTAGTATATGTTGAGAGGTCGGCAGAAGTCATAAAGAATTATCGGCAATGGGCAAATATTTTGCCCAGAGAAACGCAAGAGACAATGTAGGAGTATTTAGAGGGAATCGAGACAGAAACAGAAGAGGAAACGAGGCACATTGTGCGAATGACTGTTTTAGTGGAGTGTACAATATTTCATGACTACTGTACAAGAAGTCAATAACAAACATTCCTTCCTGCGTCTCAGTCTTGTCGTTTCCTACACTATTTTACCTTCAAGTTTTGTTGGGTAGTGATAAGATACAATGTGGTTGTCATTATAGTGTTAACTAGTGCTCTGTGATTAGGGGACGAGGGTGAAGTAAAACTGTTGGCTGGATGGGTAGTGATAGGAGTAAGGTGTTTACCGTAGATGAACTCCAGTCCATGTTAATACTACCTTTCCAATGCGAACGGAGTCAGAAGAGGTTTGCCCCAAAAATAGTACACTCCCCATACACAGCAGTCTTCCAATGATGGCGGTATCGTTGGATGGAGATTAACCACAGATAAATCTCTAACTTCTAAAAAGACCATGTATGACTAGCTAGAAAAAAACATACGTCCCATGAGCTGTGTGGTCACATATCACTATAATGAAGGCAATCTTTTTTGGGAACCTCACGAAGTAACCCCCACTCCCATGCTGTGGAAAGCTAGGGAAGCAGCAACTGCTGTCACAACTCTATTAACTCTCAAGTCACTTCAGGCCATCATCAACCTTTCAAATTTTTCTTTGCATCAGTGTTAATCATCCGTTGTCATCTTCAATTTTTCCTTGTTCTGATTAGAACTTCGGGTTACGAAACAGTATCCTTGGTCTCCTGAGTAGCGTTTCAAACTACATATCAGAGGTTTGAATTTCCACACCTTCCGTCAGATCGGACAACAAGCTTTGCTAGCTTAAACTTTCGCAACTCAGGCTATCGACGTGTGTTGTATCTGTGAGACACACATACAGGAACCAAATGCTGTTATTCACGAAATTCAAACCAGTTAAAATGGCAAATATGCAAAACTCATTATCCCAGTTTATGGATATTCCATAACCAGTTCTCCCAGTCTTGAAGGTGCAAATGCTACAGCAGAAAGTGAACTGTTCGACTGCATCATAATTGAAAGTCGCTTCTGCGCTGTTTGACTTGAAAGGTGGAATGAGAAATAAAAGGAATACTGAAACCCCCAGTTGTCTCTCTGCCTAAATTCCCAGACTGCAGTCCGGATGAATTAAATGATTTTGGCCAAAGTTATCTGCCATCTTGACAAGGATCAATGACTCAGATGTGGTCTTCGTAGTGGGTGACAAAAATGCATAAGTAGGTAGAAACGCACTTTCAGAATCCCAGTCGATGGACAGACTGACAAAATCAATGTAGGACCTCGCATTCAAGTCCATCGACCAAGTTGTCACATTTCACAGAGGCGTGCAAAGAACACGTGAATATAAAAAAAAGGATATTAAAATAGACAAAGGTTTACAGCAGAAGAAATTTGAAGATAAAAGTGAAAATATTCAAACCTTAGAAGACGTCAAATAGTGGATAAATCTGTGCTATTGTGACCGGTTTCTAGCTATTTCAGCAAAAGTTTTCAAAAACTGCTCCCCATCGTCTTGGGAACCCCAACCAAGCAGTCTACATTACTCGAACCGAGTCAGGAACTTTGTCGATTGGTGTTGCGTCACAGTTCAAGCAACCCTTAGCCCTCTTACAACCTGATCCAACTTCCCCTAGCATTGTACGTCGAGGTAGGCGGTGGCTCGGCATGCATAACATACGTCCAAGCCACCTCAGTCGGTGGAGGGTTAAAACCTCATCAACTGACTTGCTTAGTACCCTCCACCTGACTTTTACATTGCTCACATAGCATTTCCATCACACGTGAGCAATGCTACGAAGACATCTGTAGTCAAAAACCTGTAACCGCTTCATAGTTTCTACTTTCACCGGCCAATTAACAGGACGGACTGCAGAGCGGTATACTCGTCCTTCCATAGGTAGCCGGATATCTTGCAAGTCGGCGCCAGAGATGACGCAAGTTTGCAAATGCCAAACGAGTTTTATGGATCCGAGCTGAGACTTCATCAGTAACTCTCTAAGTGACCGACGCAATCAACCACTTCACTTCTTATCCTTAAACTGAGAGTAGTGGCAGGTATTCCCTGAGGGACCATCTTACATTTCACAAAGCCCAAATCAAACACCCAGATTTCCACTCGAGGCATCCGGAAGTTCCAGAATTTTGTCAGCGTCTTCATCAAACAGGACAATGTCCCCTGTGTGCTCCAAGTTAACTAGATGCTCTCCAGGGAGTAGATCAATCCCTGTGAAGTCCGACCTATCCACTAGTACTTCTGTAGTGAAGTTAAGTAAACACAGGGGCAGTACGTATCCGTGGCTGACATCACTAGTTGTCGTCATTTCACATCAAAACTCTCCATAAGCCTTTACACGGTTGCGTAACTGTGGAGTAGACAGCTTAGATCAGTATAATACTTACTTTCATAGTCGACCACTGTCACCACACCTCACGGTCGAGTTGAATGCCGTTTTCAGGTCAAGAAATATGGCAAGTGTCGGCCAACGATATGTATGACTGTGTCTCATAACCTGTCGAGGGGTGAAAACCTGATTAGTGCACCTCTGACTAGGTCTGAAACCCTACTGGTTTTCTGTGCTCCAGTTGGGTGTCGGATAACTATAGATCGAAGGATCTTAGATACGATATTAGTTAAGTTAATCCCCCTATGTTTATCACCATAGAAGCCCACTTTGAGTAGCGAAAATTGTAAATGGGCGTTTGGTGTCTTCAGTCCATTCGTCTGCGTAAATATTTTGATTCTCATGGTTTCATTTCACGTACATTTGTGCTCAAAACGTATGAAGACTTCTTATCTGACTGAAATAAAATTATTTACGATATCCAATATCACAAAGAAACCTAGAATATCCTAAGATCAAAATCTTGTGTCCCATTGGGCCTGAGTAGATGTTCACTTGAGATCTAAGATATATGTTATTGTAATTGCACACAATACTTTCTCAGCCTGTACACTACCTAATAACAATGATGCGACTCCACCCGGTACAGGTTTATGAGTTTCACTTAGTTTGCGAAGGTTTATACGATTCGTTGGCCTAGGGTCAATTAGGTGGAGATGATTAGAAGCTACTAGTTAAGAGTGGAGCCTTCAAAACATTCAGCAGCAACAGCTGTGTGCAACTAAAGAGCAGAATATACATCTCACAGCGAAATGTAACCCATAATGGCGAAAATACTGAACTTCACAATCACTTGTTTCGTATCTGTCAGCACTGCAGTTCTCCTTCATATTTCTAACCGACGCTGTTCATTCCTTTTCCTTGAATACATCCTTACCAGTAGCCACTTCCAACGTTGCTATACATACTGCTTATATGCACTTCCATAAGTAGCTGTCACTATATGAATATAACATGATACACATAGTTTGTGCGTTGGGAGATATAACTCGTTGACTTCATGCACTAAATCTTCAGTCTGTAGGCTACGGTTTCTAAATTACTCCCAGCCTACCAAGGTTCGAGTGATCTGGAAGTATTAACTCCTACGCAAGCTTGCACATGGTTTTACGGTCATATTATTACTTATTATTCATAGGCTTAACGATAATCCCCACACTTATAAGTTAGAGTAGAAACACAGATAGACTCACTTTTAAATTGATCAATATTTTAAACGCGGAAGATTAGTTTTTACAGTAATTCGGTAAATTGGAAATGGAAATAGACAAGTAGCCACTTCATATACACCAAATTCATGAACTTCAGGCAAAAATGGTTAAACACCTGGCACTGCAACTGGCCAATAACAAAAGTACATAACTCGATATCTACGAAGAGCGATACAGTTTTATCGAACATGAGTAGCCAGGAGTTAACCATACCAACCAAAATGAAGTTACAGAAAGGTTTTCACCAACAGGACTACCTGTTATGGTTAGTAAGAAAAAAATATTATTTCTAGTAAAGATAGAAACTTATTGTCTGATTATAGTCTAACGCCATAATAGACTTGTAGGATATTCATAATACCACTGTTCGTTAAGATGTTCAAAATATCAGTCAACGCCATGAATCATTAGTAACTGTTTTCACACGATGAAAGTTGAAATTCATAGGCTGATGAGAAATGAACGGTGGATAGATTCAAGTATCGCTGAGAGCTGTGAACCGATTCTTCAAATCGATATCAAGTCCAGGCTTCTCTCGCACATTTTCCCTAAAAGTGAATTAAATAAACCGAGTTATAAAATCTGTAACATTCTTGTACGAAGGATAACGGAATACGTTTATATACAGTATGACACCAGTAATATCCAGGCCCATTAAAAAATAAATGACGATTAAAACATTATCTGAAAGGTTGTTGAAATTGGTTCAGTCTGAAAGCGTTTATGGACTCATATCATTCGAACCCAAAGTTTTCAAAAAAAGACATGAGTTGTCTGGCATATCACGTTAACACCATTTTGGTCATAGGATAAAGGTTGATGTTCGCGTCCGGACACGAATACAATGAAATGACGGAAAGGTTATACAGGCACGCTTTAGTCTCAAATCAAACCCCCACAAAACAATATTTATATAAAGAGCATGTCCATTATAACCAATTTATTAACAGTAACTGTGTCCACTATGTAAGCAATATGACTGGCAGTCACTCGTGGACAAATCTTCCAACTACTTTTTCTTTCATCGTTCTTGACGAGTGCTCGCCGTGATGCAGACTCTCGTAAACTTGACAAAAGGACAGGCAACAGTTTAAGATGCGATCATACCAATAACACAGTGGAAAATCAAACGAGTAGTAAAAATAACTAGGACATGACAGGTAGTAAATAAAAGGGGAGTAATAAGATTTTTAAGACTTGGATAATAAGATAGATACGGGACCATATCACTGATATTACCTAAACACAGATTCCAAACATCGACTTTTATACAAACAAACATCTGGGGCTCACCCATTTTGGTCAATCACTGTTGCTTCAGAGAAAGAATCAAGTTTAGTTTTTGTATGGTCGACACTTGATGCCGAAACACTCACAATCTATTTTAATTGGAATATCAGGTGAGTTTATTTCACCAGTCAGAGTAAAACATTATTAATCTCTATTGTTGTTTCTCATATAGCTTATCATATATCTACGTCTTTCTAATACAACTTTCTGTTAGTTCTTCCTTCTATACCAGAACATCGTTACAAGATCAAACAAAATCAAAAAAATATGCTTTACCTGATTCCTCTCATGAAACTAGTAGAAGGTAGATCGATATCATTGCGAACAAATGAAAATGAGAAAATAGGTGGCTATTCACTGAAAATTCTGGAACGAAAATTGTGACTCGTCACAACTGGATGTCTAGCTTTTGTATACGTAACTCAAGCTTCGAGGAATCCGTAGACTTGTTAGTGATCATTTCAATGGCCAAAATATTTTACTTGTTTCATAAGTCAGCCATTGAACTAGAGTTTTATGTTACAGCTTCATTGTCCACTCATCTCCCAAACCTAATCATTCTAGTAAATCATTTCTGTAAAGTATAAATCACTGAAGATATTCGAGTGACTTAGATACCTAGCTTTTATAAGAGTACAGGTTTAAAATGTAGCCTAGGGTAGGATGACGCCCGTTTCTCTGGAGAAATGTTTTCATACGATCATAGCTTCTGCCACGTAAATCCAACCTCTCCCCTTTAATTGGCAGATGTTTTTTCCATAGGTTGAGATGACCGTTTGAAGTGGTGAATACGGAAAGTCCAGCTGAGGGAGTTGATAAACCCTGGTTCAAAACCAGAAGTACATACGAACCCCAAGATACAGAATAGACGAATGGCGTGGAACCTATTTCGGTTACTGATACCCATGAAAATAAGGCACTTAACGTTGTTCCGTTGCTTTTGGATCAATCTCGAAGTCATAGGTCTAGGGATTGAACACTTAAGACAATCATTTGCTTCGGTTAGAGTGTATGGGAAATACAACAAAACCTCGTACAAAATACGCAGCGGAATTTAAAACGACGACATTGAAGCGTTTACCATATCTTCCTGCGCAAAAACCAAAATCACTGCGATAAACATTTTCTACTTGTTTATACAGTTTAATCATCGTTATTTTTAACATATGAACTGCATTATCTAGTCTTCATCACTTCCAAAACTGAATATCGTTGTTTCATACAGCTGCTGGTCACTGACTTAAACTCTGGTCTGTTTACACCATCTTCAATAACTAAACATCTATCTTTTTAGAGCAAAATTTGATTTTATTACTCTGATAATAAACGTACCTTGTAAACTGATCACCTTTATCAAAGTGCAGACACTAAATGACATCTGAAAATAGACAGTTTAGGCCACAAACATGAAGAGGCCACACTTTAGAGTATGTCGTATCTCATGGACATACGACATAACAGACAATTGCTTCGAGTAACTTCATCTGACTGCTTGTATATATTTTCCTCGATACGTTTATCTAGAGACCTTCAAACATTTGCTTACACTGACCATCCTGATCATGATTTGCAGGAGTGCGTTTTGTACATCTGAATTTAGAAGCTGTTGAGACTTACTGAGCCTAACTGAACTTTATTTGAAAATCATTTACGGCTTTCAATGCTGTATTTACAACGGAGTGGAAATTAAGTCATGATTTTTTATGACGAATAAAACTGTCATACTCCGATAAATACTTAGTTCACCATCGAGTTACATTCGGAAAGACCTGCCAGTTGCAGTCTTTTTCCGACGCGTCGGAACAGTGACTCACATACCGAGGTTTGGGGAATCAGGTAGTAGGGATGGATTGAACAAAACATATACATGGTACACTACCTACTGCATGAATATGTACATAGCTACTGAGTACGCTTCATTTTTTATATTTTCCCTACAGTCCATTCAGGTACTGAAACACGTGATCATCATCCAAGGAAATACTCCAAACCTTTCACCGACCTTTTACAACGATATGGTTTATCTGTACTGAAGTCAAGTTGGGGTCAGTGGACAACAACGCAAACAAAAGCTTTCTTTTGATATAAAGATTTTTAACTTCCCGTTGCTGATTGGTTTGGACATAATTGGTCGATCCCTGTTGGCGTCGAAGATTTCACTTCGATGGTAAAGATAAATGTGCTGCAGAAGTCGGTCATTTCGGTTTAATCTGATCAACAGGAAATAACAAGTTCTTACGTTTAACTATACTTTTAGTACTAACAGTAGTCTTGGCAACTCAGTAACCTGGTTGATAACGCTTCAACGTTTGGAGCGCTGGGATTACCAACACTCACTCGAACAGGTACATCTAGTTGACGAGTCCTAAGTAGGACGAAAAGAGCTACTATCCATCCTCAGCATCGAAATTCTTTTTTCTCAAACCTGGACTTGTTAGAAGTGTGTTAGCAGATTTGAAGCAGTTCTTTCCGCTGGGATGCTGAAAGTACCACCTAGCTGCCTTTCTGTTTGGTTTAACTTCCCAGCTAATGTATTGAGGTTGTCCCCTAGGACATTTGAATGACTGGCTTTTGGGGGCAGATAGTTCTTGGTCAAACATACCTTAAAGTTCATCCAAACCGGTTATTGTGAGCTTAAGCAAAAACTTAAAGGGAAACGGCAGGCTTTACTACTATTTTCAACCTTCACTGTACCACGCAGTTGAACAGAGGATAACCGACCAATCTATCCCGACTGATGCAGCTCCTTCAGTATGTAAAGTGGTCAACGCACTCCATAACCACACTTCGTATGCTTAAACTAGGAGTCTATAGACATCAGTTTTAAAGCGCCATCGTAGATTTGACAGGCGTAAAAGCCATACCAAGTGCACTCAAAAGGCTATACCCAAAAGTAAACCTAAAACGAGGTTACACGAAAAAGATATTAGTTGACGTTCTTGGTAAACACCGTTGAGTGTAGTGACTACGGATAAAAACTCTATTAAGACCCCAAACAACTGAGTTCAAACAGAGAGCCTCAATATAACCTGCTTGTCCTTTCCCTACAGTCAAACACTTTCACAACCTCTAGGCTGATGAAGTCAAATATTATCCCTAGAATAGGGAAATAAAATGTGTCGGGCACCAGTTTTCGAAAACCTGAAGAGTAAAAATGAATGGGCGCATCATCTCCCAGATTCGAGGCCTGAATACCCTTCTCGAAGTTTTTGTCACTGTGATCCAGTTAGGCATCGGGTGACTATGGGCTGGATATGTTTATCAAACCGATTCTTTCGTGGTTGTCACACGAAGAATCCTCTCAGTATGAAGTGAAATGGTCAAGGATTTGGATCCACCTCACAGGAGTACTTGTGATTCACACACACTATCACCTCTAATACTTCACTGTTTTTACCAACCCCATCCTTAGAACTGTTGGAGGCAAACCATTAAATCCTCCTTGCTTTTGTATATTTCCAAGTTCGAAGCAGTGAAATACCCACAACACGTTTGGGGTCCAGCTGTATGCTGGGTAACTGAAGCATCGTAGTAGCCCCGTTTAACTAATCTTAAAAGTGCTCCGCCTAAAGTTCCAGAAGTCTGGGACCTACTTTTCCCGCTAAGTCTTACTGACCATTCTTAAAAAATCTAGGAAGCTACCGTATATTACCTAATGTTGTCTTCTTTCTTCATTTTACTATCCAGCACTGCTCCCAGTTAATATGAAAACTCTTTATCACTGAACGTGCAAGATAGTTTTGCTCTTCAACATCATCCGAGCCATCTGTACTGGACCTCGCTACCCATGAGCTAGGAAGAGGTAACAGAAACTTACTGGCTTTCGCCAAACTTTGGATGCAAGTTACTTTCTTCACCGCTGTTTGAAAAGCAGATAGTTTTGAATTTCTACCATGCTAGAACAAATACATGACCATCTCCTTGAAATAACCACTTCATGTACTGATGTTTCAGTCGACAATAGTCGGGTTTCATGACTGTTTGCTTCCTGGGTTCATTAAGGGGTGACAAAATATGTATCCGTACCAACTGCGAGACCGGAGTTTGGACATGTACTTCAAAAAGAATGCAATTCCTTGACCAATGGCCAATAGCGATAAGGTCAATGTGTCCACTGTTAGCTTGTTGGTGGACACTATGTGCGAGAAAGTTTCCTTATTTCAAGTTATTGCTAGTGAGACAGAAGAGATTGTCGGGATACAATCGTAGGAGACCATTACTGCCGTAGGTTTAATGGAATGAAATACCGTAAATACTTGTACAATACCTTTCTGAATGGTTTAATCATCTGCGACTACGACCGTATGAACGTTTTGCCCTATTTATTACACTGACAGCTTTTGATAAAACATCTTTTGCATCAAAACAACTGCAATCAACAGGCATTCAGGTGAAGATTATAAACAAGTCGACGCGTATCCCGACCGCTTCGTCAATCGAACATCACACAGGCAACTGTACTTACACCAGAGAGTATCTGGAAACTGGTCATCGAATCTGAAGACATGCACAGGATGAATTTCGTCGATTCATTACACTAACTGGATGGGGTCGAATAAGCAACCACATCTGGATCCTGAATGCATATTTCAGAAACACAGCATACGTTCATAGCCTGAAAACCCAGAATTTTGGTCCAATTTGACACACATCACCGTATCAAGCGAAAATGCACGAAGATTAAAGATAGATAAATAAAAACAGGAGTCGAAAGTGCAAGAAAGTCTTCAAAAAAGTGCAAGTAGGCCAAAATTGTTTGGATGTAACGATAGCAGCCTTCATAATTACAGACACAGTAATCATTTATTCCAGATGACATATATGAGTGAGGGCATAAGTCTCTCTTCCATACTAACATACTATTTTACAGTAGTACCTATGTCCTAGTTAAAAGTATGAGATGAAAATTTCATAGGATTTTAACATTACTTGAAGTGCTTAAACCAATGAAAGTCCACTTTTCAAACTTGTGGGACCAGGACTGTTAACTGTGACGACTTGCGTCCATTTTGCCTGTCTCTTGGTCACATTTCAACCGAACACGTTCAAGTTATTGTTTGTTGACTCGATTACATAAGCGTAAGCTCAACAGGATCATCGAAACAGTGGGGTACCCTACGAACTCATTCCAACTAGGTATTTGATTTCTCGGCTACAGAGATGTGAGATGTACAAATATTAGGTTACCAATACAACTTACTTGTACGTTTTCACATTCACATTCCTCGACCAATCAGTTGTATTCTCTGAGGACTTCTGGAAACCTGTATTAAAAAAATTCGATGGAGGTGCTTGTCCTATCGCGGAACTGGGACCTCCACTAATAACGTTTCCTCTGGTCCAACCCCCACTCGAAGTGAATTCACGAAACCCAGAAGTTTCTAAGTCGTTTCTCCTAAATCCGTGATCCATATCAATACGGGGAGGTGGGTCATCGCGAGGTCTAAAACTATCTCCCAAATGACCGGGGCCCACATTTGTAACACCTTGAAACCCTCCTTGTCTCAAAATGGGGGAACATAGGTAGATGTTGTGGTGTTATTGGCTGCTGGTGTTACATTAGACACTGGATTTGGACGGCGCATACCCGCTGATTGCCAGGGTGAATCATCAACATCATCGTTATTTTTCTCCGGCTGAGTTTCTTTTTTTTGAACTTCATTGACACTTGCATCTAAAGATGGGAAGTCCGTGGCACTGGCGACATTTGGTTTTGCGGCACTGGAACCAGAACTACCCTTTTGTCTCAGAGGAGCAGGTATATAAATACTGCGCTCCGGTGGTGGTTGTGCAACCGGCTCGACAGGTTCTGCAGCTATAAAAACCAATGGTGAACGACGTAAGACAAGATATTTCGTTCACAAATCGACAGAATGAACTAAAACATTTACTGCCAAACTAGGAACAAATAAACGTGTGTGGGAAGACTTAATATCTATTCAAAGGAAATTCAAAGAAGCATACTGAATTGAATCGGGAGTTGAGTTTCGTAACCACAATCTCTAAATCAAAATGAGCTTCCTGTTACAGTTCAGTCGTCTATGGTGTTTACAACAATTTTACGTAGACTGACCAGCGATCTAACAAGCCGTCGTTGGACATCATTCGTAGAGCTCGGGTTTCATGGAAGTACAAGCGTTGTACACAGGATCTTTCACAGCCAGCATTATTTCACAGAGGCATCAAAGATTTTTTAGACTGGTGTATAACGCTCTGGCTCTCGACATGCGGTTAGAAAGCTCGCCGGTCATACCTCCACCAATACTCAAACGACTACCCACGTACACTTTTCGATAACTGTCAACAATTCACTACTGAAGATGAATGCAAAAGCTTCGATCAACTAGGTAGCAATTCGCTCATTGAAGGCATGAAGCAGATACTATACTTGCGAACACTGATCGCTAACTGAATGAGCAGGACTTTAGCTGTATAATGAAACGATATCGTTTGTATACGCGCAGTCGAGAAGTAACAGGTTTACTCCACCATCCACTCTCTGGGTTATGTGGAAACGTACATGCCCCTATGTTCAGTAACTGCAAGTGCTCTGGAGCGAGGAACGTTAACGTGAAATACAAGTGGTGGTGTCAAAGCAGATACCAGTTTTGGTTTCTGACTGTTGAACTGTCAGCAAAATACTCCCAGGAACATGGATGGTGAGATAATTTGTTTCATGTTCAAACATTCGGTATGCTGAATAAGTACTCTAGTTGGGGGATATCATCAGTCAATTAAAATAACAGTACTGTCAGAGTTATCTTATGGATATGAATTTGAACATCCTAAAGTTTCCATGTGTAGCTTCAACAAGCAGGTAAGGAATATTTCTTTGCGGAATCTCTTTCAACACCAGGGTTTTCAGAGTAGTCTTCACACTCATTTCTCAATGAATCCAGAGAGAGAGAAGCACTCTTCACTGTTCATGAGCTTGCTTCAACCATCTATATTCAGTAGAGGTGGATATATGATGACACCACTAGAGGCCTCAACCTCGCTTGGTTAACTAGTTCACTAGTTACTAGCCGATCCTAAGCCTGGGTAAAGACGGAAGGTTGGGCGTAGGGCTAGCAACCCTACCTCATAAAACCAATCCAACAGCCAAAGAAACTTCAAAGCACAAACAAAATATAAAACATAAAATTAAACTTATTACTCGCTGGAATCGGAGAGGCGAAATGACGCCAGTTGGTGAAAGCCTTCGGGAAGCCAATTGGCTGATGTATCTTCTCTCCCTGGATGAAAGCAAAAGTAAATGTGAGGACATGGAATGTTCGCACCATGTTTGAACCTAGCAAGGCAGCCCAAATTGCAAACGGAGAAGGTATAGCATGGAAGTGCTAGGAATTTGCGAAAGCAGATGGAATGGAATTGGACTCTCCAAACTGAAAACTGGAGAATCAATAATTTACTCCGATATTGCCACCCACACGACAACCACGAGCACACTGAGCTTTGAAGTGGCTATCATGAAGTCCCCAACAGCATCGAAGGCTCACTCTCATGCAGTGGGAATCAATCTCCTCCAGGATCGTGACAACAAGGTTCAACTCAAAAGGGAAGTCACAATCATACAATGCTAAGCACCTACAAATAATGCAGATGAGAAGAAGGAGGAATTCTACAGACTACTGCAATCAGCACTGGACAAGACCTCAGTTGGCGCCATCAAAATTCTAATGGGTGGGGTGACATGAATGCCAAACTGGGAGGGGACAACACAGGAAGAGAACTAACCATGGGTCGAGAAGCGCTCGGTGAGGTGATGAAAGAGAATGGAGAATTGTTTGCAGAATTCCGTGCATTCAACGATTTGGTGACTGGAGGCAGTGTGTACAAACACAAGGATATTCACAAGGCAGCGACATGGATTTGATCCCACCAGACACACTACACTAAAAATCAGATCAATTTCATCTCAATGTGAAGAAAGTGGAGACGCAGCCAGCCTATTGGACACAAGGTCAAGAAGAGGAGCAGATGTAGGTTCACACCACTAACTAGTGCAAAGAACCTTCAAAATCAAGTTGAAAGTCTTCTAGGAAGCTGGTGATAGACCATAGTTCAACACTCGAAAACTGAAGGACGAAACTATACAGAAAATCTTCACGGCAGCCATCAAGACAAAGTGGGAGATATCGAGGAACATCCCTGAACAAATCTGTGTGGAAGAACACTGGAACTCTTTGATAGCTATGTGGAAAGAAACCTGCACAACCGTATTAGGAAGAAAGAAGATAAGGAATGGATCTCGATGGATACATGGAAGTTGATAGAGGAGGGAGAGGAGGATGGTGAAGCAGAAGATAAACCAGTGCATGGATGCACAACGAGAAGAGGAACTGAGTACAACCTATAAAACACTACACTTGACAAAGAAGTGAAGAAGAATGCACGGAAAGACAAAAGACACTTCTACGACACACTGGCAAGTAAAGTAGAACAGGCTGCCGGCTGGTAGGAGAGACCTGATAACATTGTATCAAACAACCAGGTTACTATCTGGGAAGATATCAACTCAGATTAAACGAATGAGAGATAATGAGGGAAAGCTAGTCAGCAAGGAGGAGGAACAAAGGAAATGATGGGCTGACCACTTCAAGAAACTCTTGAATCGACCACCACCTGCAACTCACTCGGAAATACCACCAGCAGCCCAGCAACAGAACTACCAGTGAACACAGGCCCTCCGACAAAAGCTGAAGTCCTGAATGCCACAAAACTGCTGAAATCCTGGAGAGCGGCAGGACCAGATGGAATTCCACCGGAGGCTCTGAAAACAGAAGCAGAGACAAGAGTGGACATGCTGACACCACTGTTGCAGAATGTTTGCACGGAACGGAGGAAAGGTAGCTGCCCATTGTTTGTAAGAATAAGAAGTGTTACCTTGTCAAATTCACAAAGGAAGGAGACCTAATTGTTTGGGAGTACTGGTGTGGAATCATGCTGCTGTTCACCCAATGCAAGCAAAATATTATGCAGCATCATCTTGGAGAGGCTACAGGATGCAATGGATTCAAAACTACGACCGGAACAGGCTGGCTGGCTGGATTCAGGAAGTACAAATCATGTGCGGACCAAATTGCAACGCTACGCTGTGCATCATCATACAACAGAGTATAGAATGGCAGTCAACTCTCTACCTCACCTCAACTTCATCCACTTTGAAAAGGCCTTTGACAGCGTCAAACGACAAGTAGTTTGGAAACTGCTTCAATACTACGAAATACCGCAAACCTTTATCAGCCTCATTCAACAACTATATGAAGGCGCCACATACCAAGTAATTCACAATGGGTAGCTCAGTGATGCCTTCGAAGTGAAGACAGGAGTGAAACAAGGTTGCCTTCTATCACCCATGATATTCCCGATTGTGGTCGACTGGACTGGATCATGCAACAAACAGTGAGGAGCAAGAAGAGGGGATACGCTGAACCGCGGCGAAGACGGGACTTCAAGTGAATATAGAGAAGACAGAGGTGATGAAGATACCCAACCAACAATAACAACTCTAATCGCCATCAACGGGAGGAACTTAAAGGAAGTAGCCTCTTTCACCTATCTAGGCATAACTGTCTCAACTATAGGCGGTGCAGACGAGGATGTCCAACTCAGAATCGGAAAGATAGCAAGACAGGCGTTCATAAGGCTGAAACCAGTGTGAAGATCTTTTGCATTTAGCACGTGGAACAACATCCGCATTTTCAACACCAACGTCAAGTTAGTGCTCCTGTATGTTTCAGAGACTTGGCGGGTTACGAAAGGGATTTCCAACAAACTACAGACATTCATCAACAACTGCCACCTACGCTCAATACTGAAGATCAGAAAGAATAAGAAACAAGGAACTCTGGCTGGCAACTAACCAATCAAGAACCTATCGCTCAACAAATATGCAGAAGGAAGTGGAGATGGATTGGGCTTGCACTGAAAAAAAACCATTCGGGGACGTCACGCGTCAGACACTCGAGTGGGACCCAGATGGGAAGCAACGGGTTGGGCGTCGGTGTCAAGGGTGACATGGAGGAGACCATGTGAGGAAAAAATGAGAGGTGTGGAGCCAGGTTCAAAAGTTTGCAGAGAACAGAGTGCACTGGAGACGTGCTACTGAAGCCCCATGTTCCATTAGGAACCCAAGGGACAAATAATAATAAAACTAGAGGCCTCGTTCAGAATTACTGTTTGAGTGCAAGAGGTCTGCATAAAGTGGTCATATTTAGTTGTGTATTTTTGTCCCGTCTCGTGAAATAGTGAAGGTTGGACTTGAATGCTCGTACAAGTTCTGGGACTTGTTCTTATGGTTTCCAGTCGTTGATTTTCCTGTCTATGACTATGCAGTCACTCGACAACTTTTCCACAGTACCTAGTGTACAATCACGTTTTATCAGGCTTAATAAGTGCAAACTCCTCTGCTTTATTTAATGATTGCAAGGGTTTTACCAGGCAGTTCTAGCATTGTAAGCGAAATACAAAATATTACACCAGACAAATACTTACGAGTTTCAGGTACTTTTGCGCCCCAGACTTTCTTCTCAACTACAGCTTCACCGTTACACTCATGCACGTCCTTGTTTTTAGATTGTTTGGCAGATTCTTCGGAAGATGTTAAGGTGAGTTTGCTTATCCTGATGTTTTGAAGATCAATTTCCTTTTCATCATCTATGATTTCCCACTCATCATCCTTCTGAGCAACGGAATATCATGTGAAATAGGAACTTACCTCCATCATGGCAGGCTTACCAACCTGAGGAACGCTTGTTTCCGGAAGACTCTTCGAGACCTCTCCTCCTCTTGCGAGCATATCCATCAGTTCCATAGGGCTCGGCTTCTTTTTAGTCTTTTTCCTATTTTGCTTGGCAAAGAATTCATCTAACGACATTTTCAACCACGCAAAACCAGTATCAAGCAAACCGCTGAGTCCAACGTTGATCTGCAAAACGAAGTATTCAAACACAAAGAAGTGATTCAAACGAGTCCTGTAAACCACATGTGTATTGTTAACAAATGTTGTAATTTACCTCAAGTTAATGATTTAAGTGTTCCGGATAACTTTAACTGGATGACTTATTCGCATCGTACCCCCAAAAAGTGCCGATCCTCTGAAACACGTCCCCTGGTAGCAAATGGTTTCACACTGCTAACGACTCGATGCAAAAAGCTATCTTTCAGCTGGTCTCTTTATTCAGAAACATTGAACCACCAGGTCCCACGCACACGAATTTAGGCGCACAAAAGAAGAAGAAAAAGGAGAAAAGGTTATTGCAGCGTCACATACTTCCCCGAAATCAATACAGTAAGGTTCGACGACATTCAGCATTGATGCTGACCTTCATAGTTTTACCGTGCTCGCTAAGCTGAAGGTATGTGGCCAAGCATCCGCGCCATTTGACGAGCTGTCGTGTTACGTTGCATTGCTCGTATTCGACTCTCTAGCCAGCTAGTTGGAACGCATAGATATTTTGGCCCACCCTCGCAAACATACTTTGGGATTTGTCCCGGTGCGAACCTGATAGACACAAAGACCAATCACGAATTATTCAGACTTGTTATATACCCACGAATACGAGACCAAGGAAGAACACGATAGCGTAGTCGGATGGAATAGTACATTTGGATGGTTGTGCCAAAATACCGATGCGTTCCAACTAACTGGCTAGAGAGTCGAATACGAGCAATGCAACGTAACACGACAGCATGCCAAATGGCGAGGATGCTTGACCGGGTGCCTTCATCTTATCGAGTCCAGTTAAACTATCAAGGTCAGCATCAATGTCGAAAGTCGTCAAACCCTAGACTATTGATTTTGGGGAAGTGTGTGACGCTACAGATCACTCCCCCCCTAGTGGGTTCGTGAGGACCGTAAGGCGATACCAGCCGGAAGTAAAAACCCGGTAGTTTCTCCACTGGTAAAACTCTTCCGATGGGCTGACTGCGTGAAGTGGCCCCTGGCTGTCTGGACTTATTCTAGGGTGTCGTGGCAATTAAATAATAAAATACAATAAATGAATTGGACGTCGATAGCGGTCACCAGTTCCTTTTGACGTTTCGTCCAGTGCTCGTTGCATCTGGAATGTAAATAAAAGTCTTTAGTACCACGAAAACGTTTTGTAAAAATGGGAATTATTCATGTATAAATATATCGAAAATAAAAAATTTAATCTTATTTTCACCTTTTTTAGAAAAGTTTCATTACATGGCGATAAAAATTGATATAAGAAGGCGAAATGTACGAGGATTTGCGCATTGCTGGTAAATAAGAAAGATAGCGCCTCGGAAAAATTTTTTGAAGTGAAAAAAATATGGTTGGCACATCTTACTTCACACCACTAAGTTCAGTACGACTTCGAATACTCCGGGAACCTAACGGTTCGACCTGACCGTATGACCTGTTGCGTCGATGGTTGTTGTAACTTTGCATTAACAGGCACATCGTCAAGAATTTCGATAATTGAGCTATCCGTCGGTCGGCTGTAGCGAGCCGAAACGTCACTTATAGTTTGGTTGCCTTTGAAATTAGCTGGTTTCAAACGGTCGATACTGACAGTATCTTCACGTCCGTTTCGCTCAGTTATACAGAAGTTCTTGTCACTTGATCACTTTGAATGGCCCATCGTAGGGTGGTTCAAGTGGTCGACGAACGGCGTCGTGGAAAACAAACACGTGTCGCCTCTTGTAAACTGGGGTGAACGAAGACGTCAGTCATTTGAGGTCTAACAGGAGAAGACCTAACCGAACGCATTGCGTTTGTAAGCCTAGTCACGTAAGATGCCCTGTCGGAAACATGTTTGAAAGTTGAAGAGGAAACAAACTCAGCTGGTAGGCGAAGAGTGGTCCCACAGGCGAGTTCCTCAGGGGTACATTCACCGTCAACGTTCAACGCGTTACGAAAACCTAGTAGGACTAGCGGCAGAGCCCCGGGAAGCTTTCAGCTGTCGATGGAAACGCTCTACCATGCATTTGCTTGTGGATGGTAGGCTGTCGTTCGGAACCGGGTGCAACCTAAAAGTGCCGTTAGAGCGTGAAATAAGCCGCACTCAAATTGGCGCCCACGGTCGGTTGTGACGTAAGATGGACATCCGAAGTTCGCGATCCATCTTTCGACGAAAACACGAGCTACTGTTTCAGCAGTAATATCCTTAATAGGTACTGCTTCCGGCCATCGTGTGAAACGATCAACACAAGTGAAAAGGTAGGTACATTTATTAGATTCTGGTAGGGGTCCTACAATATCTATATGGACGTGGTCGAAACGCATGTCTGGGGCTAGAAAAGAGCCTAAAGGGCTTTTCGTGTGTCGCGTGACTTTACACTTTTGACAAGCTAAGCACGACTGAGCCCACTCCTTAACGTCTTTGTTCATCCCAGGCCAGCAGAAACGTTGTGCGATAAGCCTAATGGTGGCTCGTACACCTGGATGAGAGAGTTTGTGCAACGTATTGAAGACGTTGCGTCGACAACTCTTCGGAACTATTGGGCGTGGTTGACTAGCAGAGACATCGCACAAAATTGTATCCTTGTCTGATCCAACCGGACAAAGTCGCAGTTTGAGAGTTGTGGACGACAACTCATGATGCAGCTCAAGGTCTTCCTTTTGACGCCGAGCTAGTTCAACGAGATCAACGCCCTCGATATGGTTTATCGAAGCTATTCGAGATAGTGCGTCGGCTGCGGAGTTGTTTGCTCCAGAAATGTGGCGGATGTCTGACGTGAACTGGGAAATGTAATCCAGCTGTCGCGACTCACGAGGGGAGTATTTGTCAGACGCCGAGCTGAGGGAAAAGGTTAACGGTTTGTGGTCTGTGAAAATAATGAAATCACGACCTTCCACAGAATGTCGAAAATGGCGTACAGAACAGTACATGGCTAGGAGTTCCCTACCAAATGTACTGTATCTTGTTTCCGCGTCTTGCAGCCGCCTCGAGAAAAAGGCTAACGGTTGCCACTGGTTGTCAGTCAACTGTTGCAAAACTGCTCCAATTGCTGAATCAGATGCATCAACAGCAATACTCAAAGAAGCATTGGGGTCATGATGCATAAGCATGGTTGCGTTCGAAATGGCTTCCTTGACTTTAGAGAAAGCAAGTCTAGCCGCGTTGTCCAGAGACACGAACTTCGTAGTTCCTCGAAGTAGATCTGTTAGTGGTCTCATGACAGAGGCACAGTTAGGGATAAACCTTCGGTAATAACTTACCAGGCCATTGAAAGTGCGGAGATGTTTCACAGTGGTCGGCTCTGGATAGTTTGTGATAGCCGCCACTTTATCTCTCAATGGGCGTATACCTTTGTTGTCAATGGTATGCCCAAGGAAGCTGAGTGATTCAACTCCTATTTCACACTTCTGTAAGTTGACTGTGATGCCATGTTTTTTAAGTCTTTCGAATGCGAGGTCCAAATGTTTGAGGTGAGTTTCCTTATCTGGACTCGCAATTAGACAGTCATCGATGTAGACATGAACAAAATTCAAACCACGGAAGACATCATCCATAAAGCGTTGGAATGTTTGTGCTGCATTCCGAAGACCAAAAGGCATGCGCAGGAATTCAAACAGGCCAAAAGGAGTAATAATGGCTGTTTTCGAGATATCTTCTGCTGCCATAGGTATCTGGTTGTACGCTTTGACCAAATCGATTTTGGAGAAAATGTTCATTCCGCATAAGGTTGCAGTCAAATCGTAAACGTGAGGTATCGAGTAGCAGTCCGGAGTTGTTTTGGCGTTAAGCCTTCGGTAATCACCGGTTGGACGCCAGTCGTTGCTATCCTTTTTGGGAACCATGTGCAATGGCGATGCCCAAGGACTGTTTGAAGGTTTGACCATGCCCAGTTCGAGCATGTGGTCGAATTCGCTTTTCGCCGTTTTGAGCTTATCACGGGCTAGACGGCGCGCTTTGGATGCCACAGGTGGATCTGTGGTTGTCACGTGATGCATAACATTGCTGGTTATGCACGGAAGAGTGTGCTTCGGTTGTTGCAACTCTGGATATTTCTCCAAAACTGCTTGGTAGGACGCGTCGCCTGATTGTTTGGTTCTAACGATGGCTAAACTCGGACCTACATAGATGGTGCCGCCAACAGATAACTTTGTGCTGTTATCTATCAGTCGTCGACGGCGAGCATCTACGAGTAAATCGTAATGGCAACTGTTTCACAGAGTTGCACAGCTTGGTCACCTCTGAATCCTGGCTCTCTGGTTTGTCGCAGACAGAATACACGTTAGACATAGGTCTGCTAGAAATCTCCAGTATTTCATCTGCCAAGGCTGCCAGGTTATCGAGTGGGACTGACTGCAGTGTCACCAACACGGTTTGCACTGGTTGGGGTAGTTTCGAGAGGAGGCCGTCGTCGAACGTTCGTGTGCCGAATACTTCTCGCATGCGTGCGAGGACTTCACGAGCTGGGTGGCTGCCTAGCTTGACGTTTCGAAGTAATTCGCCTAGGCGCTGGGGATCTGTGAGATCGCTTTCTTCAACAATGCGGCCTTGAGAAGTGCATAAAGATCACTTCGGGACCAAGCATGCGTGGTGTAACATGCCGGTTTAATTCCGCGGTAGTGAACGTATGACAGCAAGAGATAGGGATATGTGAATCACGTCGGGCTCACCAGTCTAGGATGTGTCCTGGTACGAACTTGACAGACACAAAGACCAATCACGAATTATTCAGACTTGTTATATACCCACGAATACGAGACCAAGGAAGAACACGATAGCGTAGTCGGATGGAATAGTACATTTGGATGGTTGTGCCAAAATACCGATGCGTTCCAACTAACTGGCTAGAGAGTCGAATACGAGCAATGCAACGTAACACGACAGCATGCCAAATGGCGAGGATGCTTGACCGGGTGCCTTCATCTTATCGAGTCCAGTTAAACTATCAAGG